TATTTTTTTAGAGACCAGGAGTAGGAGAATTATAAAAGTCTAGAAATAAACCCCAGTCTATAATGGTTCTATGTACCTGAGGGTCCCTTGGGGACCAGATGAGCATCTTTGCCACAAGAATGGGTTCCTGGAGGAAAACTAGGACCTGACTAGGAACATAGGAGTCTCTCAGACCAGGAAGTCAGCCTTAGGGCAACTGGTTAAGAATTAGTCATCTCCAGCAGAAAGGGAATTATAAGAGGGAAAGAAATGGTAGCCAAAGAAAACTCAGGAAGAGAGGTGCAAGAAAAGTGTCCCAGCAATCAATAAAACCTTGTTTGTTCTATTTTCTTTGAAAACAAATTGGCCACTTGGAAAGGACCCCAATACTATTCCTGCAGTGGTTGGGGAATGAGTCCTCTAGTAATTGTGTCTCCTAGCAACATGGAAGAAGAGCCGTTGTGCCCTTACTAAGCATTAAACACCTGCTTGGTGCTTCGCCTCTGTCACACAAGCTTTATAAGTTTGTTGGGAAAGAGAATAATATGCCCACCTTATAGATGAAGAAACAAAACAAACTTCCAACAGCGCAGATCAGAAGTACAGTGGCTGGGAGACATCCTCAAAAGCAAGAAGTCCTCTAGGCTTTGTGGTCCATGGGAAGAGCAGAAGTTATGTGGGGTACTACTGCAGATTGTGGGGTGCTCCCTGCCTGGAGGCTTTATTAAAGGCTTTGAAAAGGTGGTGGTGGTGGTGGTGGTGGTGATGTGCTAATGAGGCAGAAGAGAACTCACCGAATTTCCTTATTTGTCACTATAGAACCTTGCCTGGTAGAGTTCTTCCGAGAATTGAGAGTTGGTGTGTGTGAAATGTTCAGTAGAGTGCAAAACAAGGCAATAGAGTGTAATCTTTTCTATCTAAAAAGTGCCCGAGTTAAAAGAAGAGAAATGGAAGCTTTTAGATTTCAGAAGCAGTCTCCTGGGGGGGTCAGAGGTTGAATTTTCATAAAGATATTAAAAGTAGGTAAAGCTCTGTGAGAACAGAGGTTCTGCCTGTCCTACTCATCACCTGTTTCTGGATTATATACCATACCTAGCCCAGAGTAAAGGGCAATCATTGTTCAATGGATGGATGAATGCATGGACGATGGGCCCAAAACAAAAGTGCTGCCATTTAGTGACAAAGAGGACAGTCCCTAAAGAACTGGTTCCTTCTCTGAAGAAGCCCCAACCTGCTATCTATCTATTATCTAAGAACATAGAGGGTCTTGATCCTGTCAATACCAACTCCTCAGTTCTAGTTTGTGAAAGCCCTTCTGCATCCTTCTTCCCAGCACTCCTTGTACTACTACTTTGTTCATGCCCTTGCAACTCTCTGCTGGATTTCCACACATATCCCCTTCCAAGCTACTCTGCACACCTGGGGTGGAATGGTCTTTAATACAAATCCCACTCAGTCACTACACCCACCACCTCCACCCTCACCCCTAGTTAAGGATGGTTCATGATGCCCTATATATCAAACCTATAGCTGTCATATCCCCAGCCTTCACAGGGTTGCTGGTGTTTGTGTCTCTAATCTTACCTGGCCAATCTCCACCTTGAGTTCTCTGTGATCCAGCAGTGCTTTGTTCTCTTGTCCCATGGCCTGGTGCTCATCCTCCACCTTCTCCATTTTTCCTTCCACAGTCTTCTGAACTTGACTGTGGCATCACTCCCCTGGACTGTTTTCCATAATCATGTTTAGTCCCACTAAGAATTGGGGGTCTCTCCTGCCACATAACCCAGTGTCCAATGCTGAGCCCACTACCCTGTGATCTGCTTCCAGGTCTGTTCTTAAAAGGTGCCTGGCTCATAAATTACTACATTTACTCTTTCTTTTACATAGCACATTCCCTCCACTCCTTGGCCCAATTATGGCTGGTTGAATTGATGCTATAAAGGTCTCACACCAAATATGCACTTTCTCAGAAACATATTCATGATCAACATCACATCTTTAGTGAATCTTATATCCAGACAAAAGGATTAGTCAAGGATTCAGGGACAGTGGGAAAATCTATTACATTAGACATGTGAGGAACATATATTTTTGGTAAAAAATCAAGACATATGATTTAACAAACACTATCACCTATTTCTTTTTGTTTAGGAAAATTATGTCTACAGTTAAACAACCCAGCCTATCATTTGTGCCTTATCAAATTATCCACACAGACCAACTCAAGACACTGAAATAATAATAGCTAATGAGTGAGTAGCAAACATTCTGGATGAGCCCAGGATGTATCAAGCATTATGTGAATCACTTTCCTATCATTTTGGGTCACTCCTCAACTGCCTTTGTATTATCTCCATTTTACAGATGAATAAACTGAGGCTTAAAAATATAGGTGACCAGAAAAAGATTGCATACTCCACTGTGGATAAGTAGTCCATTCAATCCTGCTAGTCATTCTATGACATTGACCTACCTATAACCTCTTAACCTTAATAGATCATCAGAAGAGCCACTTCTGGGCAAAAATAGCTATGGCTTCCGGAATTTTTATTAAAACTCTAAATCTCCTGGCAATAACTTTCAAACATGGTGATTCAGACCAGCAGTGGTATTTGAAAATGGAATCACATTGCACGCCTCCTGGCTACAGAGATGCTCTTGCTGCTGGAAAAGAATGTTCAACCTTAGCATTTGTTTTCGGAGCTTTTCCCTTCACTGGTGTTTTGCCATCACTGACGGTTGAAAGGCACTGCCTCTCCCTCCATCCTTTCTAGGGAATCTTCTCCTTCAAGTTTAACTGGCCCTGTCCGTGTATGTGGCTTTTCACTTCTCTAGAATGTAGAACAATGTTTCTCAAGATCCTGCCTATTGAACAGCTGACTAAGGACCAGCTGGACACTCATTAAAATGCACATCCGTGGGCCCCCTCCCACAGCTACACATGGAATTTCCCTGGAGCTCAGAGAGCAACATTTTAGTGTCTTTCCCAGGCATGTCTTAAGAATTCTAATGCTTGAGAACCACCGGCATAACCCCCAGAGCCTCAACAGCTTGTTAGAAAATGAAGACCCCTTAGGCCCCAACCTTGAACTTCTACGATCAGCGTCTGCATTTCAACACTCTCCCCATAGTCGTTTCTATAGCACGTTACTATGCATATTAGAGAACCGGTTACTGGCTTAGTGCATTGTTTCTGCTACATGACAATATGGCATAGAAACAAAAACACTTGTTTGGTGGCATTTCCTGGGAATACAGACTAAGAGTGCTTGCTGAGCTCAGCATGCACCATACCCCATATGCTCACGCTGAAGGTGAAGGAGGTTGAGCTCTCGGGTTTGTCTCTGCTACAGTAGTGATTGAGAAGCAGTGTTCTTCCTTTTTAAAAATTTTTTTTAATTTTGGATTTTTCAAAAAGATTTATTTCTTTATTTATGTGAAAGGCAGTCACAGAGAGAGAAGGAGAGACACAGAGAGAAAGATCTTCCCTCTGCTATTTTACTCCCAAAATGGCCAGGGCTAGGCAGCCAGGAGACCAGGACTTCTTTCAGGCTCCCACGTGGGTGCAGGGGCCTAGGGACTTGAGCCATCCTCCACTGCTTTCCCAGGAGCATTAGCAGGGAGCTCAGTCAGAAGTGGAGCAGCTGGGTACTTGAGCCAGTACCCATATGAGATGTCAGTACCACAGAGAGAGGTTCAGAATGCTACACTACAGCTCGAGCGGCTCAGAAGCAATGTTGTCTTTAAAGTACATCTTCTTTGGTCATGAGGCATAATTCCCTAGACCTTGCTTATTCACGTCCTTCATCATTTATCCTTAGAGTCAGGAAGGCCACTTTACATGCAGTGTGGGAACACAGGCTCACCTTCAAGTTCTTGGTAGGCTCTTGGAGGAATGCTGATAAAAGGGGCTTGTGTCTGTTGTTCTCAAGAACCATCTGCTAGAGCTAAGAAGAATTAGAAAGAAATAAGAGTAATCTTCCTTCTGAAGGATGATCTTTTCCCATTGGTCCGCAGATCTGAGGACAGAGGCTTAGCAGCACACAAGGTGGCATCCAGTCTCCGGAGTGCCAAAAAGAACATGATTTTATTAAATCCTTCCCTAGCAAAAATCTGTCAGTTTACACGCTGGACAGGTGTCCCTTTTCTTAGCCAGCCCCTGATAATGGGGTGACAGTTGGAGGCAAGGGATGGAATACCTTCTGAAGCACGTCCTGGTGTGACCATCTGATCACAGCTACCAGGTGTCAAGACATGCCAGATGACTTTGCAGAGCTCCTAGGTGCAGGGAGCTCCATTGGTTGATGTTGTTTTCTCCTAAAGAGATTGCTGGACATTTTTAATTTTCAAAATGGTGAACCCTTATTCTGAATGAGAAATTGTCATGCCTATTGCATGCCTTAAGCAAACAGTTGAGGGAGTAGATATGGTTATTGCTACCAAATGACTTAACCTTTCAACTTGGCTGCAAATCTGTATGTAATTCTCTCTACTCTGTTTCCACTTGTCAGAGAATAGGCAAGCAAAGCAGAACATATTTGGGGTGGCTTCACATGCAAGTGTCCCTGCTCTGTCCTCACACTGCATGCCCCTCACATCTCCACAGACCCTGTGGCCCTCTCTTCCCGCTCCTGCCAACAGAAGGCTCAGTCTGAAGCCCCTTTGGACAGTGACCAGAACACACTGGCCTTTGCCACCTCTGGTTGATTTTTCATGGGACTCTTCTTGGGGCAGAAGCAAGCAGGCCTTCCACTCTAGCCAGGAAGCTCAGAGAGCCATTAGCAGCTCACCTCAATTTGTCATATGTAAGAAACAAATGGATTTTCCTTAAGTTTTCTACACAGAAACAGGTGGTAAAAATGTTCAGTCCCCTATTCATTGGATGGACAAGTACCAAGTACTAAAAATGTGAGACTGGAGGGTTGCTGAGCGCTTAAGTCTCCCAGTCCAAACAACATAGCTATTTTACATAACCAAGCCAAGGAGAGGTGATTGAGACAACTCTTTGTTTCATGGTACAGGATGAAGAACAAGCTGTGGTACTTTGAGTTCGGCACCTCAGAGACTTTTGCGGCCACCTGCAAGAAACTCCATGACCACATAGAGTTGGAGGTAAGTTTCCAAGGGGCTGGGGAAGGCTTGCTGAACCTTGGTCCTGCTCCTGGGCTGTCACACACCCCCTCAGGACATGTCCTTTGGGATCCTGACATGTCGATCCAGAGTGAGGAGTGTTTGCTGTGCCTCCAGTGGCAAGACCTGCCTCTCTGGGCCTGGCCTTGGGGCCTCTGGGACCCAGTGTACCCAGAATCATAGTTCATCCCAACCCTTAGCCTTCCTTCCACTGTGCCCTAACTACTCCCTCTTTCCAAAAGGGTAAAGACTTAGTTGTCACTAACACAGGGAGAAGGGACAGAGGCAATGATCCAGCATGGTAGACAACTGGGCACTGCTAGCCACAGAGGATCAGGGCTCAGGGCCTGGAGGTTGAGGCCAGAGGTGCCCTGGTACCCCCAGCTGACCCACTTTGGTGTTCACAGCTGCTTCCAAGGAGCTGACTCTGGTACCTCTGGGGACATAACCTGTGTGGTCCCAGAGGTCCCAGGTCCACATGCTGCCTGCCAGCATCCCAAATCTGTGGTAGACTTGTAGCAAAGAGCCCTGCATGTTCGTGTTGAACTGGAACCCCTGGATCACAGAGCTTTCTAGGCATGTGCAACAACAGCCTGACTGGAGCAGCTTTGCCTGAGGGTACCTGTTCCCTGGGTGATGAGCAGCAAGCTCCTGGATCCTTCGCCCACTTCAATGTGCTGTTCTCTTGAAGCGCTCTCCTATTGACCAGGAGGCCAAGTCCTCCTGAGAGCACAGACTTTTCTGCAGCCCCAGAGTTCTCAGTTCCCAACCTCTGGGGAACTTAGGCCTTGTGGCTGGTGTACTGTTTTGTTTTGTTTTTTGTTTTTTTTTTCCCCCCAAGAGAAACACAAATGAAAGAGACAGCTGGATTGTTGGACCTGAATGGTCTCAAAGCATCCATTAGTGGCGCATAGGGAACGGGCAGCCCAAGGAGAAGTGTTTGGCTTGCTGTGGCAGAGGGAGAGCCGGACCACACCCTGCTGCTCCTAAGCTTGCACAGCCTGGCTGCAGCAATGCCTGCTCTTGCCTGGAGGGAGTTTTCACAAACAAAACACCCAGCCAGCGGTTCTGTGCGGCTGTTAGGTTTGACTCATCTCCCTGCCTCTCTTCTCTGGTTGCTGGGATACTGACACCAGAATGGGAGGTGCTGAGCTCTGAGTCCCACCAAACCCCTGAACTTGAGACCAGCTCATCCAGCAGGCAGAGAGCCCCAGCGGCCAGGGCCGTGTGTCCCTGAATGCTGTGGGACTGTGACCACCCATATCTGGGAGAGACCAAAGCACCAGCTCTCCTCTGCTTACCCCACATGCATACCGCCAGGAGAGAGAGGCCTTGGCAGGGCTCTGAACATGGCAAGCACAGTTCTGTGTGCATTTTTTGTTGCTGGCACGATCGTCCAGTGGGGTCTCTTTAAATATACCACCAGTGAGGGACAGCCCTGGCCTAACCATGGCCAGCTGCAGGCTCACAGCGACTGCTTGTTCTCCCTGCAGCTGGCCTTGAAATGGTGCCCAGAACACAGCCAGCCGTTCAGCTCCCCTGCCTCTCCGGCCCGCCCTCCCGGCTCCAGGCCCAGCTGACTGTGCCCCCACGGACGCCTCTGGGTCCAAGACACTGCAGCTCTTCCTCAGTTAGCAGAGGGGGCTGGGAGCCTCACTGGGGGCCTACAGGGAGTGGGTGGGGGTGGTTCACTCTGGGAGCCTTCAAAGCACTTCCTGTTTTCCTTATCTTCCCCATAATGAGTCTTTTTAGCATGTATTCATGAGGGCAAGAAGAGAAGGGTGGGTAAGGGGTGATGGTGTCACATGGCCAGCAGCTCTGACAAGCCAACAGTTTCTGCATTCAGAGAATAGCAGGAGATGGGCCTGGACGTGTTGTGATCTAGAAAGGGGCCGGGTGTGACGTGTGACAGGTGCAAAACAAGATGAGAGCATGCGGGCTTCCAGGATGAGCAGGTAAGAAAAAATTAGGTGAGGTGACCTCAGAGTGGTCACTGAACACAACAGCCCAGGCCTGTGAGGTCAACAGGCCACTTGATCAGTCAAGGTCAGGATCCTAACAATAACCTCTTGTAGGCCTTTACACATTGAATCCCTACCACTGCAAACTAAGCAGGCCAAGGATTATAAACCCAATTTTATGAAAGAGCAAGCCGGGGCACAGTGGTGTAGCAGGGTAAACAGAAGGGAGTGAAAAGTTTTAAAAGGAGCAGGAAAAAGTCATGCCCTTATGCCCTCATTTGTGGCAGGGCCCCATGAGGCAAGCCAGAGCCCATTCTTCCAGCGGGGTTTAGACCCATTAAATCAGTCAACCAAGACTTTCTTGCTGGAAACTGGCAAGAGGGAGGAGTTCGTGTTGTTGGAAGTGAGTTTAGCTTGGAACCCAATAAACACAAATTGACCCAGCAAGGGCTAGAAACTCAGTAAATCCGTCAGTACTGATGCATCGTGTCTTCCTCCTTTGTGGAGCCTGGGATCTTTTGATTAGTTCCTGTTGTAGGCAGCTGGCAGCTCTGCAGAGAAAAGCTTCACCAAGAGCAGAAACTCGCTGAAAGAAGAGAACAGAGTCAGGCTAGAGAGTCAGGGAGAGGGTCGTGAAAATTACCCTCATGTTTACAGAGTTTTCTCACACAGCAGTTCCCTTTATTTTGGCAGGAAAACACGAACACCCTCACTTGATGGAGGAAGGAACTAAGGCAGAGAGGGTTGGCAGCCTGACAAAAGGGACAGCAACTGAACCCACCTCCACCTCTCTGATTGCTTGGTCTAGGCTGGTCTGGTCCATTCTAAACTTTTCTTTTTGTCATTGGCAAAAAGTTGGGTGTAGAAACTTAAGAGTACCAATGGGATTTTGCAGGGAATCCATCCACATGGGCTGCAGACTCTTTCTCTGAGGCTCATGGAGAAGGAATAGGAGGCTTGGGCCTACCCCTGAAATAGAGCTATAGCCCAGCTAACAAGACAGAATGTTCACAGAACACACAAGGACTGGCTGACACAGTACCCACCGAACCAGGGCTTAGGGAACTAGACCCATAAAGTCCTGGGGAGAGCCACGTGTGTTGTGTCACTCTACTTTTTGCTTTGAGGGTCCAGTGACTCCGGGCAAAGGGAAACTTAAGTTATACAAGCTCACCAGCTTATCCTCCATGCCAGGGCTGCTAAGGAAAGGGCCCCGGTTGGGATGCGCAAGGCCTGAGGCTTAGCCTCGTCCTATACTAAGGTTAAGTAGCTTGCTGAAGTTTCTCTCTGTGCCTCAGTATTCTCATCAACCAGACCAGGTGGGGGGGGGGGATGGGGGAGGGTTGGCCTACATCCCACCTACCTCCCGAGGCTATCAGCCATAGCACAGTTGTCAGGGTTGGCATCATTTTGCTGTTTGAATATAACTGGCAGTGCTGCCGAGAGTACCTTGGAATCTGCAAAGCAGGTGTCAAATCACCTCTTCCAAAAGCAGGACAGAAGCTAAGAGAGTCCACAGTCTGCGAGTGGTCAGGTGTCAAGTCCAGATTTTCTGGAAACTCGAGTGTTTCAGGGCCAGTGTTGGGCCTCAAAAAGCTCAACCCAGAGCAGAGAAGCTCAACCAGGTGAGGGACATATCTGATCTGCCCTTTACCGATGTTTTTAATGATATCTCAGAAATATGAAAAAGCAGCCATGAGATGTTTCCCTTGATCAATACGGGAGCATAAAGCAAAATATGGAAATGCTCGCCCTCAGTGTCCTCCATGGGAACAGAGAGGAAGCCCTGCAAATGCAGCGCCGTGCCTGGGACCTGGGCACTCAGCAAATTGTGGTAAATCCTTGTTAAGAAGCCGGCAGTGTGCCACTAGCGGCACTCCACCAACTGCCACCCACTCTGTTCCAAAGCTGTCCCTCAGGGTGCTCCCCATGCCTCTCCACTTTGCAGTAAGGCTAGCCTGATTTCACCTGAATAAACAGGTGAGTCACCTCCCCCACCCCCAGCCCAGAATAGCCTTGCAAAAGGTTTCTGGATGTGCTTGGAGTTAGCTGGAACAAACCAGGCAGGCTTCAACTAGAGCATTTACTTTGCATTCCGTGGAAAATGTTTCATTTTTTACTGGCTAAAAATAAGAATTCCCCAAATCCCTTGATATTTAATCTAATCTTGAAACAGTGTATAGTAGTCTGTTTTCCATTGCCGGTAGTACAGCCTGGGTGAGTTATCAAGGAAGGAGGTTTATTTTGGCTTATGGTGCTGGAGGTGCAAGGTCGAAGGGCCACACCTGGTGATGGCCTTCTTGATCCCCCAGGTAGCTCAGCTGTCACGTGGCCAAAGACAGAGAATCCATGTGTGTGTCTTTCTGTTCTTTCTCTTCTTAGAAAGATATCAGGACTCAGCCAGGGTTCTCCAGGCTAGTGACTGAACCCCAGTTATATCCTAGCCCAGTTAAGTCTCTACCCAACTTAATACCTCTTGGTGGGGATTCAATGCCAACACATGAACTATTGAGGGACACACTAAAATGTCATCCAAGCCATAGCACAATGTCCACAAGAGAGGACTATTCACCTGCTTTAATGGGACCCTGGGCAGAGGGGAACGAAGGTCCAAACCTGAATGCCACTCCAAAAAGATGTGTCATCAGAGTCTTTGAGAATCAGTGCACATCAGTCACCCTATTTAACTGTATATAAACACACACACATACACATCTTGAGAACAGTTACTCAGAATTGATATTTGTCTCAGGCTCTTCAAAAACTTAATTGGGGGAATCAAATCTAACAGTAAAACTGGAGTCCCCCATGGTCGCTTGCTACCTACCATGCACTTACCTTGGACACTCACCCTGGCATCCTCAGGCCATCTCACGATGCTATTGATGGAACTGGTCTATGGCTTTGCGCTGCCCTAGAGTGTCTGTAAGGGGGCACCCATAGATGCTGCTGCTGCTGCTGCTGGAGGCCTAGGTGGCACACAGCATTTTGGGGGGTAGTTTGTATGTTCACAGCAACCCG